TCTATATGAAAATTACATGTCTATGTGTGATTGATTTAGAATTATACTCTATACTAGATACTTTTTTTAGTTGTGTTTAGTGATGGCCATAGCATGAGCCTTAGTTGATACAATTGTCAATTAATTTGATGGATAAAGGCTTAATCTTGATGGGTTGTTCTACAAATTAGCTTATTATCATTGGGTAATTATAGTAAAGTAGGCAATTTGTGCTTGATTATGTTAATCCATATTTCTAATTACAATTAGTATTATCCTCTTGATTGATGTGTGCTCTTATCGGATACATTTGTGAATGTGTATGGTGGGTTATGACGTAGTCTTGAATGGGTTCTACACTTTAGTTTAATTGTCATTAGGTAGACAATTCATTCTTGATGTTGATAATCTATACTTACAATTGTGATTTGTGATGATAATGTGACCACATCTATAATTACACTACTGAATTCCCCATTAATTGAAAGCATATGGTTAATTACATGGGCTTAGTGGTGAATCCTAACCCTAAGACTCTCTTCATATCTCCTTAATTCTTGGTTTAATTTAGTTAAATTTAATTGCATTGTTATTTCCATTTCCATGTTTTTAATTTAACTATAGCTTAATCATTTCACCAAACTCTTTTTCTCTCAAACTTTCTCTCTCTCTCTTTCTTGTGCAATCTAATTAACTTTAAAGTCAAGTTAAATTCCAACACGTGTTCAATCTCTTGGGATGATCCCTTCTTACTTCATACTACATAGTATAAGTGTCTAGCGGTTTATAAATGTAAACTATGATGCCCGCTTGATACCATTTCCAAAACCAAAGTGTTGTGCATTATTTTGTGCACACGCTCGGGTCGCATCATAATTTTGGCGCCGTTGCCGGGGATTGACGGTTTAGTTGGAATTGAATTAGGCATTAGGGCTAATTTGATTGTTTTCTTTAAATTACTATTTTCTTACAAATCCTTCTTGTTCAGTTAGGTACTTGAAAAGAAGAGGAGTAAGCATTGGATTTTGGCACCATTGTGACGTTGTTGCTAGGGACTTTCGTGACCTTCCTTGAGTTTCTTTTACTTTAATTGTTCAATTCTCTACATGCTTGCGAGATAGCCCTTATCGAGGCTATCACATTGTTTAAATTCTTGTCCAAGCATAAGCCCAACAAGAGTCTATTACTTTCTTGATAGAAAGCATCGACCCGTGTGGAGGCAATTTAATTTTATGCATTTATATAACATGGGAGTATGGGAACATCGTATGTGGAGGTGGTGAATTGTTGTTGATTGTTGTTGTGGTTTGTTATGAAGTTATTGTGGTTTAATCTTGAATCATCCATTCGGCGTTATGAGGTAGTTTTAGGAGAATTCTTTCCATTCTTGACTATCCCACACTTAATGGAAAACCAATTCTAAGATCTAGGGAATATGGATAATCTAGGAGAGTATTACCCTCTTAATGGGCATCCACCCTTGGGAATTTCTCGTCCTAATGTGTTTCCACAACCCAATCAAGTGCAACAACCTCCAATTATACAAATCCATCCACAAGATCATGTAGTGTATCCCCCAAATCCTCAATTATCTCTTCGGGATCACTACACTCCCAATGGATACAATGCACCAACATGCATTCAGTTACCAAACTTCCGGGCACAACAATATGAAATCAAGCCCGTAACCATCCAAATGTGCCCCATTTTCTATGGGTTGAGCAATGAAGAACCACATAAACATTTGGATGAGTTTTTGGAAGTTTATTCAACCGTAAAGATCATGGATCTTCCGGAAGAAGTTTTCCAATTGAAGCTTTTCCTTTTCACTCTTCGGGAAAAGGCTAAATATTGGTTCAACAACTTGAGGGCAAATTCAATCACATCTTGGGCTCAACTACAATGTGAATTCCTAAAAAAAATTTACCCCGCAAGTATAACTGATGCTATGAGAGGTTCTATCCATGAATTCTCTCAAAATGAGGGAGAGCCTTTGCATGAAGCATGGGAGCATTTGAATGATTTGCTACGGAAGTGTTCACATCATGACATTCCAAAGTGGCAATTAGTTTGCTGCTTCTATGAAAGCTTATCTGATACCTAAAAAGGTATGGTTGATGCTTCATGTGGAGGAGCCTATTTGGATAAAAATGAAGACGATGTGTGGCATCTTTTTGATCGCATGAGCAAAAATTCAATGCATCGTTCTTCATCATCCCGATTGGGCCAAAATTTGAATGGAAGAGGGCAGAAAACATCCAATCTTTCTCAAATAAATACTTCAATGGAAATTGCCTCCGAGGTCAAAATTCTTACTCAAAGGTTTGATAAATTCCTTTCGAGCCAAAACCCAGCAATTCAAACATCCAACTCTTTCCATTCTCAAAGTATGACGTGTATGACTTGCTCTAGTTGTACTCATAATACTTCCAATTGTCTTATTGGACAAAGTTCTCTAAGTGAGTATCAAGAACAAGTCAATGTTGTTTCCATTCATCCGGGAAGTAATCCAAATTCCAACTCCTACAATTCCGGATGGAGTGATCCTAACTTTTCTTGAAGAAATCAAGGAGGAGGTATCATTCCTCCTCTTTATAAAAATTCTCAAGAAAAGTATGTGCCTCCCCACCTCCGAAATGCAAACTCTCAAGCATACCTCTCTCCATCTTATCTTCCTCCAAATGTGAATCAATTCTCCAATTCTCAATCTTCAAATCATCAATTTTACTCTCATCTACCTCAAGAGCCTCCTAGAAATCCCACTTTTGAAGACAATGTTTTAGAAGCTTTGGGTGATTTTCGAAAGGAAAATCAAGTGTTTCATTCGCATTCTCAATCAATTGCAAAACTTGAAGCCCAAATTGGGCAAATGGTTCAAACAATAAAAGGGAAAGGGCCTATTTAACCCAAACTTAACCAAAAGGCATACTCCATTTCCACCTTGAGGAGTGGGAGAAAAATTGATAACAAAGTTGAGAGACTTAGTGAAGTTAGTGTTCCGGTGTAACCAAGTGTTAGCCCATTTACCATTCCCAATTCCATTCCTACTTAACTAGGGACAAATGGTCACATTAATAAGCAAATTCCATCATCATCATCTTTCTCCCATGTAGAGAAGTCTTATGAGCCCAAAGCTCCATTTCCACAAGCTTTAAACGCTACTCCATTTTCGAGGCAAGAAGGAAAAATCCATGACATGATGGAAGTTTTAAACAAGTTAAAATCAACCTTCCTCTTCTTGATGTTATTCAACAAATTCCACCATATGTCAAGTTTTTGAAGGACTTATGTACTCAAAAGAGGAAGAACAATGGACCAAGCTCAAAGAAAGTGCTTCTCACAGAGCAAGTGAGCTCTATCATTAAACTTAACACCCCACCTAAGTTCAAAGACCTCGGCGCGCCAACCATCTCTTGTACTATAGGGAACCATGAGGTCCAAAGGGCTTTTCTTGACTTAAGGGCTAGTGTTAACGTTATTCCTTACTCCGTGTATCTTCAATTAGGTTTGGGAAACCTTAAGCCAACTTCAATAGTTATTCAACTCGTTGATAGGTCTACAAAACAACCAAGGGGAATTGTTGAGGACATCCTCATCAAAGTTGACAAATCCTATTTCCCGGTTGATTTTGTTATGCTTGACACTGAGCCGGTTCTCAATCCTACCACTTACATTCCAATAATCTTAGGAAGACCATTCCTTGCCACTGTTAATGCGACAATCAATTGTAGGTCCGGCATTATGGATATATTTTTTGGCAATATGATGGTTAAGCTTAATGTATTCAACACGAGCCAACATCCTATCAATGAATGCGAGTGTTTCATGGTGAATGTCTTGGATGAAATTGTTGAAGAAGCTATTCCTTTCATTCATTCCATTCCTTCTGAAGATCATCTTGAGGTATGCCTCTCTCATTTCAATATGGATGTATTTGACATTGAAAGCTCCATATATGAAGTGAATTCTCTAATGGACTCCGTGGCCATCTTAGACTTCCTGCCATGGAAAAACTCAAAAGAACCTCTTCCTTTAGTCACAAGTACTCTTTCTAATCAAGAAGAGAAAGAAGTGATAAGTTCGTTAATGGCCAATCTAATTTATGAGGACATTCCTTATAATATTGAGCATGAAGTCATTGAGGCGACCTTGGAAAGTGAAGAGATGGTGATCAAGGAAGAAGAGAGAAGGGATTAAAAGAGTGCATTTCCTAATAATTCAATTGAATATTTGAAAAACGTTGCCTTGCCAAGTGCAAGACTGCCCATTATTGATTTATTTTCAAGACCATTGATGAAAGGAAACAAATTGCATCTTACATCATTTCTTTTCAAGTCATTCTTTTGGGAGATGAATTTGTTGTTATGAGAAAGGATCCACTTGGGAAAATAGATAAACGGATTAATGAGGATGTCTCCTATTCGGTTTTTTATTCTTTCGACTAGTGAGTCACCCCAATGTCTTGCTAGAGACGTTAAATACTAGTTTTTCCGTAGAGTTTAAAAAATTAAAAATTAAAAATTAAAAATTAAAAATTAAAAAAATAATAATTAATTGTTTGTATATTATTATTATTTTATTTTGTTATTTTATTTTCTTTTCCTTTTGTACATTTATGTTTTTTAAAAATTAAAATAATAATAATAATAATAATAAATAATAATAAATAATAATAAAAAATTTGCAATGGTTAGTGTAGGTTGGTATTTGATTTTATTTCAATTTATTATTATTATTATTTTAGTTTATATTTTTCTTTCTGGTTTTGTGTAAAAAAATAAAAAATAAATAAAAACAATTGATCACCCATTGTATATATTTAATTTCATTTTAGTATATATTTTTCTTTCTAGTTTAGTATGTATTTATTTTCTAGTTTAGTATTTTTTTTTTTTTGTGTTAAAAAAATAAATAAATCAAAAAAATAAATGAGAAATCAACCCTATTCTTAGTAGAGAACCCAAAAAAAAAAAAAAAATTAAAAAAATAAAAATAAAAAATAAAATAAAATAGCCCATCGGGATCAATCCCCCAACCATCGGGATCAATCCCAACCACTTTCTCACGTTACACAGTGAAGAGAATTTTATTTTTTATTTATTTATTTATTTATTTATTTTTTTGTTTGTATAAAATTGTCCATCGCTTTGCTTAGGGTGGTCGAACCCCTTAACCTTGCCCTTGCCATCTCTCTCTCACCTCCATTCACTGCCCAACCCTCAAACCTCTTCACCCAAATCCAAACTCCCAAGTTCTTAGACCGTCCCTCTCTGTTCGCTCTTCTCTTCCGCGGTGTTGAATTCGGCGTCAATTTCACAGTTCACCCTTTGCTTCGCCCATCTTTGGCTGAGTTGGGTGCGATTGGGGAAGTGGAGTTCAGATCGCGGCTGTTTCTCTTCCGCGTCGCATCTGGGTCGCTGTTTTTCTCCGGCGATTAAGATAGGGTCGTTCTTCTCCGGCCACGGTAAAACAGCGGCGCCGTTTTAAAACGCTATAAAGGGCGCCGTTTGATTCGCCCTTTTCTTTTTCCGATGTCGCGGGTACTGTCTTCTCCAGCCGTGATTCGCAGCGCCGACGGTTTCTGGGTAGCAGGTCCTTCCGGCCGTGCTTGAATCAGTCCGATTCCGGCTTGGTCCTCTCCGGCGAGTTTGTAGGTCTGAACAAAGAAAAAATAAATAAATAAAAGTCGCATCTTGGTCTCGCCGGCGATCAAGGCTGGTTTTTCTCCGGCCACGATTTCTGACGATTTGGGTTCTTCGCTTCGTGTTTTCTGGGTCGAGGCTGGGTTTTCCTGTGATTTCGGCTTGGTCGCTGCTTTTCTCCCGCGATCAAGGCTAGGTCTTTGTGGCGTCGCGGCTGGGTCGCTGTTTTCCAGCGACTTCGGCTGGTTCTTACTGGGTTCCTTCCGGCGAGCTTGGGGATCGCTTTTCGCCGGCGATTTTGGCTTCGCCGTTTTCTCTTTGCGTATATAAAAAAATATTAAATTAAATAAAATAATAAATAAATAATAATAAAATACATAAAAAAATTTAAATAATAAAAAAAATATGAATTGTTGATTAAAAAAAAAAAAAATTGCATTGATGATTTTTTTTTTTTTAAAAAAAAAAAAAACAAAACAGTTGTATTGTTGTTAAAAATAATTGCATTGATAATTCAAAAAATAATAATAATAATTAAATTAATTTATTTTAAATAAAAAAAAATTTTCTCCCTAGTTTTTGGTCTTGCTAGAGACGGTAAATTTAGCCTATTTTTTATTTTATAGGTTGTATATATATGTTCTTTTTCCTTTTTTTTAAAAAAAAAAAACAATAAAAACACAAATATATATATATATATATAAAACAAAAAAAAAAAAAAAACAACAACATAAAAAAAATAAAAATAAATAAAAAATATATGTTGCCGTTATGCCCTTATGCTTGATTATACATGTTTTAATCTGTTATAAAGGGTTTTATCTCATATCTCTTTGCATCGTATTATATATTGTTTTGAACTGTATGCATTGCTTATCCCATGTGATATTTGATGTGAGTTTGCTAGTATGGTTATACAGATAGGTTTTTGCATCCAAGTTTGGGGGAGACATCTTTCATACTGGATCATTGCCGGACTTCATCATCTTTGCCATCACGTCATACTCTTTCCATCATTTTCATCGTTCTCATTGCACATTGAGTACAGTGTACATTTTAAGTTTGGAGGTAAGGACATCATGCTTCATTCTATTTTAAGTCGAGCTTTAAATGCATGATGCGATTTAAGATGTGTTTGGCAATAAATTCGAACTTTTGAAACATAGTGCCTTTGAAAAGCAAGCTGTTAGAGTCTAATACTTCTTGTATGCTCTAGGATGCCATTTAGGAGTAAATTTTTAATTTTTGATATCATATTTGCTCTTGTGGTACACATCATCTTGTTAGTTGAAAATGCTTTGAAAGTTGATTATAGAATTCTACATTTGCACTTGCACACACTAGCATTCAATTTGTGAGGTACATGCTTAGTTAATTATTGTCTTGGTTTATCCCAATTGAGCTAGTATGTTTTGAAAGTTTTCATTCTTGATAAAATGACCTTGCAAAGAAAAGAAATAAAAGCACTTACCAAAGGTGAGGAACAAAAAAAAAAAAAAAAAAAAAAAAGAAAGAAAAAAACTACATTCTTTCAACATGTCAACTGATTAAAAAGGAAGACAAGGAAAGAATGTAAGATGTATGATTAGTTTGAGTTCGTAACCTAATCATTCCGAGTCATTACGCTCTTAGGAGTGTCTTTACACTTAGCGCCCTAAGACCATCTGGTTTGGGAGTCGTTGGCTCAACGCTTGTTACATGGGGTGATTAGAGAGCTTAATGAACTTGGATATTGCACATGGTCATACATATTAAAAATAAATAAATAAATAAAATAAATAAAAAATAAATAAAATGACATCAATAAAAAAGAATGTTTGATTGAATAATAAGGTTCATTCAATGTCTTGATGTCTGATACTATATCTGTATGCTAGTTTGAGGGTAAGGCTATGCCATTACTTTGATTTGCTGAGATATCAATATATTTTGATGCTGGTTCACTCAAAAAGGATGATAGAATTGATTCAATTTGCATGATTAACTTGCTTGATGTGTGGAGGACTATTTTTACTTACATGATGTTGAAATGTTGAGAATAGTTTAGAAATAGTAGAAATTTGCATACTTGAGGTAGTATACTTTTAACACTTGTTTAATATGTGTCGGTGCTTCTTAAGTAAGAAAGAGCTGTTGATATTTGTGGGTACTATTTCTGGAAACCCTCACGACACTTTACTCGTCCACTGGGGGTAACCTAGGGGTTTAAAAGGCTTGTTGCATATGCTAAATGCAACGTGATCCCTACGAAAGTGGTGTTATCTTTATTTGTTTTATTAGTTTATTGTTGTATATATGTTTGTTCATTTCCATGCTGTAGTTTATTGCTAGGGACTAGCAATATCTAAGTTTGGGGGCGTGATAAGTGCTTAAATGTTGCACATTTCAGCACCTAAGTTAGGGTATTTCAGTCTTTACATCTATCTTAATTTCATGTTTTAGTCCTAATTTATGTTTATGTGTATTTCAGGGAAATAAAGTTAAAATGAGCTAAGAATGGTCCATTAAAGCCTCTTTGGAGTCAAGCAAAGACATTCAGAAAAAGTTCAAAAAATTGGCAAAAAGATGTCGCAACCCATTGCTCGTATAGTGTATTTATTCTTCAAAAGCGGTCAATCTCGGACCTTTAATGATGTTCTCAAAGATGAAAAAGCAAACCAACGAGCCTAGGGCCAAAATGGAGCTAAATAAGGCTTAAAGAAAATTTCCAACTCTTAAGGGATCGATCCCCCAGGACTTGGCAACATTACAGGTTTTTCTTATTTTGGGCTTATTTTTGTAATTTATGGGTTTTAATAGGGTTTGTTACTTAAGGCCCAGTGAGCCATTAGTTTAGGGTTAATATTATTTTATTTAAGGGAGTTTTAATTTATTAGATTATTAAGTTTTATTTTTTTCTGTACCGTGATATCACGTTCTTTCTGCGGAAAAAAAAAAAAAGCTAGGGTTTGAAGAATATTTTACAGAGGCTTTGTTTACAATTGAAGGAAAAAGAAGAAGAAGCCAAAAGATGGAGATGGAGCTTGTTGACACCATGATCATCTTCTCCATGAGCTAGTTCTTCACTTAGAGCTTGGATGAGCCCTAAGTTCATATAACCTAAACCTTTGTTTTTCTTTTCTTGGGGAATTATTATGTTGTAATTAAATATATGGCCTTATGATTTATTTATATATACATACTTGATTTGACAAATTAGGGCTTGTATTTATTAATTCTTCCATTGAAATCTCCAAGTTGATTTTATGTCTATATATGATTAATTAGGGATTTTATTCTTCATTAGATGATTGAAAATTAATTCTTCCACTGATTCTATATGAAAATTGCATGTCTATGTGTGATTGATTTAGAATTATACTCTTCACTAGATACTTCTTTTAGTTCTGTTTAGTGATGGCCATAGCATGAGACTTAGTTGATACAATTGTCAATTAATTTGATGGATAAAGGCTTAATCTTGATGGGTTGTTCTACAAATTAGCTTATTATCATTAGATAATTATAGTAAAGTAGGCAATTTGTACTTGATTATGTTAATCCATACTTCTAATTACAATTAGTTTTATCCTGTTGATTGATGTGTGCTCTTATCGGATACATTTGTGAATGTGTATGGTGGGTTATGACGTAGTCTTGAATGGATTCTACACTTTAGTTTAATTGTCATTAGGTAGACAATTCATTCTTGATGTTGATAATCTATGCTTACAATTGTAATTTGTGATGATAATGTGACCACATCTATAATTACACTAATGAATTCCCCATTAATTGAAAGCATATGGTTAATTGCATGGGCTTAGTGGTGAATCATAACCCTAAGACTCTCTTCATATCTCTTTAATTCTTAGTTTAATTCAGTTAAATTTATTTGCATTGTTATTTCCATTTCCATGTTTTTAATTTAACTCTAGCTTAATCACTTCACCAAACTCTTTTTCTCTCAAACTCTCTCTCTCTCTCCCTCCCTTTCTTGTGCAATCTAATTAATTTTAAAGTCAAGTTAAATTCCAACACGTGTTCAATCTCTTGGGATGATCCCTTCTCACTTCATATTACATAGTATAAGTGTCTAGCGGTTTATAAATGCAAACTATGATGCCCGCTTGATACCATTTCCAAAACCAAAGTGTTGTGCATTATTTTGTGCACACGCTCGGGTCGCATCATCCACAGATCTGGAGCATTGATGGAGGAGAAATAATCATGTGTGGTCAAGCTCACAGTAACTATTGAGCTCAACCTATTATTATTCCTATTTTGTTACTCGAAATTTAAACGGTCATAACTTAATCATTTTTAAATCGAAATTGGGTCATTCTTGAGCTCAAATTGAAGGATTTTTCGTCCTCTTTCCGATGGTACCAATTTATTATCGGATTCCCATCATACTAGGAGATATTTGTGTTTAAGTAAAACGGTGTCGGAAAATTATTTACCGAGATGGAGTATTTATGGGAAACTATTTCTGACGAGATTTAGTAACATTTAAATTACGTAAATATAACTAAATTAATATATTGATATGGAAGGAAGTATATATATATATATATATATATATATATATATATATATAAAATTATGTTTTATATGTGTATATATAGTTTAATTGTTTAGGATAAAGATGGAGGGATGTGTATATATATATATATATATATATATATATATATATATATATTGATATATATGTATATATATATGATTTAAATAATTAAGTATTATTATGGATGGTATTATACACGTTTATAAATTATATAATATATGTGTATGTATATATATATCATTTAAGATGATTAATATAAATTATTCTTTTTTGGTATATCTGGATAGGCTGGTTATTAAAGTAATGTTATGTTCATGAAATGCATGAGATGTTTATGTGTGATTTAGTTCATCGTGAAGTTTAAAGTTGGTACATGGTTGAATTGTAGGCATAGATGAGTTGCCGAAGGCTTAAATATATGACCTAAATATTTGTCTGAATAAAACACATATATAGGAAGTATGGATGAGTTGCTAATTAAAAGTATAAATATATATACTTAAGGAGGCATGGTTGAGTTGCCAATATATCAATAAATATATTTATAATGGTATGGTTGATTTGCCAAAGTGTAATTATATTACTGTGTGTTAGATGGTTAAAATATCATCTATAGTTATTGTATGTATAGGTTGGATTATGATTAAATATTCTTAAATTAGAATAGTCTAGTACTTACAGGTTAGTGTATTATTTTATGCATATTAATAAAATAATACTGGTGGAAACATGGATGATTTGTCAAAACTTAGATTTTGGGATATGTGATTTAAATAATTAAAATCATTATCGGGTTTGAGATTAAATATAATATTCTTTTCATTATAATTTATTAGTTAAATGATTAAACAACTGACTAGGATGTGATTAAGGTTAAAAGAGTTTCTTTTTAAATAAATGGTAGATTGGTCTAGGAATGATTACTATTTTAATAAATATTTAATAGGTATGGAAATTTAATAAACATATCAATGGATGTAATTAGTATAGTATATATAATTATATTTAGACATGTACATCATGCTTTATTAAAGTTAAAACTTTATTATGTTTGGTTTTGATCAGAGATGATCTGCTTATTGGTTTTTAGAGGCCTGGTAAAGTGAACTTGTTCGTAGGGTTTAACCCTCGATTTATTTTTTCAGGTTATTAGAAGTTCCAAGTCTCAAGGTTGAGGATTCGCAGCTGGAGGACTTATCCATTCTTTCTATTTTATTTCAAAATAGGATATTATTACTTCAATATGTAGTGATGAATTTCTGGATAGTAGAGTTTGGTTAAGGGGTCCTTGAGTTACGGGATTCCCGAGTTGTAATTGTTAGAGAATCATTAGGTAATATTTATTTATTAGTTTTCTTCAGCGGTTTATTTATTTATTTTTATTCATCTTTGTACTCTGTGTTTGTTTAAATACTTAAATTGTTTTGATATCCCTTAATTTTGTGTGCGGATTTGATCAACCCTTGTTCCGAAATTAGGGGGTATCACAAGCATGCTTAATTGTAGTGATTATAGTTACTTTGACTTGATGGAACATGTATGAATGTACGAGGATGTATATTAATTTAATTTGTATGATGAGCATGCTTGTATGTGAGTTCCTAAGTCTACTATGTTGTTAACATGCTATAAATGATGTATAAGAACATGTTTAATCGTGTTGTGAGAAATCTCTTAGTATAATTGCAATGAAAACATGAGACTCATATGCATAACATTAGGCTTGCATGAAGGGAATTGTTTTGAAATGAAAATGGGGAATTTTGGGAGAATGGTTTTGATGAATTGGTTTTATAAAAACCCGGTCGTCGCGGGGGTACAAAAGGGTTGGAGGGTTAATATAGGTTAGAGGGAACTAGGGAGATTGCCCTAGCATGGTTGAGCTAGCTGGGCCCAAAATGACGCCACTGGGGTACCAAGGGTCAGGGACACTAGCCAATCCTTCTCTCATATCGCTGCAGGGTCACCAAAGGGCGGGTTGTATTAACCGTTTAAAAGTGATGGTTTTGAATCTGAAAAAAAGGGGAGCGACATCAACATGCATTGCACTCCCATTGCATCATATTGTTTATATGATCCCCATTCCCATTACTCTATTCTTTGTATGGATTCACGGGGATATAAGAAGCGTGTCTTAAGTGCCACTTGCTGAGCTTTTGCTCACCCCACTATATTTACCATTTTTCAGGTCATGGAAAGGAATTGGCGGATGATAATCCACCGCAAGCTTGAGAGTTGTTAGAAGACCATTTTGCTATTTTGTGCTTAGGCAATTTTTTTGTATATTTATTGTTTTGGGATTGTAACTAAGTTGACATACATGGCCTTGTAACTCAAGCATGAGCTTTAACTTTTATTTGATGTAAATGGAACTAATGTACTCATTGTGAATATCTCCATGAAGTTGTAGCAAGTGATGTTGTAAGATGATTAATTGATGGCCTATTAGTTTACGATTGTTGAATGTCTTATATTTGATGGTTTTGTCCTGGTTTAGGTTATTTTAAAAGTCCCCTTAGCCATATTAGTTCATTTCTAAGCATAGCAAGTCAGTTTCAGGATGCAGGGCTCGAAGAAGCCACTTCGGTCGACTGAAATGATGCATCGGTCGACCGAAGCTCTCTTGTTAACTCTCGGGACCTCTTGTTTCGGTCAACCAAAATAGGGTTCGGTCGACCGAAATGATGCATCGGTCGACCGAAGCTCTCTTGTTGACCTCGGGACCTCTTGTTTCGGTCAACCAAAATAGGGTTCGGTCGACCGAACCATTCACATGCTCTCAGTATCTCACTTTCGGTCGACCGAAGGGTTATTTCGGTCGACCGGTTCTTGAAGATCTGCTTTGGCCGACCGAAACTCCACTTCGGTCGACCGAAGTGCTCCTGTTTGATTCTCTCTGCTCCTCTTTTCATGTTGATCTACTCCTAACACTTAGGTTATGTTCTGAGTCTTTGGGAGAGCCTAGTTTGATCCTAAGGATGAGGTTTTGACGCTTGAAATATTTGGTTTGACGTAGATGACCTCGGGTCAAGTAAGGACCCGGCTAACGGTTCGGGCCTCCAGGTTTGGGTCGTGACGGGTTACAACAAATCAAATCATCCCCTTAATTGTGCACTGAAAATTGACCTCATGAAAGCCTTCGATTCCTTACACTGGCAGTTTATCCTTAATGCACTGTATTTGTTTAGTTTTCATATAACCTTTGTTTATTGGGTGGCTCAATGCATCACTACACCATCTTTCTCGATATCACTCAATGGTGAATTGTTTGGATTCTTTAAAGGAAAGAGAGGTGTTAGACAAGGAGATCCAATCTCACCCTTGCTTTTTGTCTTGGCAATAGAGGTTCTAACCCTTACAATTGATAATCAAATCAGAACCAATCCTGGCTTTAAGTTTCATTAGAGATGTAGAAGATTAGCCATTACTCACCTCATATTTGCTGATGATATTATGATGTTTTCACATGCAAATGTTGGTTCAGTCCAAATTTTAGTGAATGCCCTCAACCTGTTTTGTTCATTCACTGGACTTCAGCTTAATCCAGCAAAATCCAAGGTCTTCTTCTCAAGGGTTGATAACCAAGCAAAGGCTTCTATACTGTCCCTCCTGCAATTTCAAGCTGGATCACTACCTGTTTCCTATTTAGGCTTACCTCTGTCAGCCTTAGCAATCAAAGTTAGGGACTGTCAAACATTAGTGGAGAAAATTACTAGAAGAGTTGGCAGCTGGACCTTCAAATTTCTTTCTTATGCAGGGAGAACAGTTCTTATAAAGTCAGTATTGTGCTCCATTCAATCCTATTGGTCTCAATCCTTTGTTTTACCTAAGAAGGTGTTTGATGAAGTTAATAAAATACTGAGAAGATTTTATTGGTCTGGAGTTGAGCTTAAGAAGGGATGTGCAAAAGTGGCTTGGACTGCAGTTTGTAGGCTAGAGATATTTGGTGGGTTGGGATTTCTGGACCTTGAGCTTCCTAACAGAATTGCTAATCTAAAACATATTTGGAAGTTGTGTAGTAGAAAAGATTGCCTTTGGGTAGCCTGGACTACTTGTCATCTGCTTAGGAGTAGATCATTTTGGTGTATCAAGCCCTCTGTAAACTATTATGGTTTTTGGAGGAGTCTGTTGAAACTGAGAGGAATGGCAAGAGGTCTCATAAGGTATAGGGTGGGGTGTGGGAAAAACACTAATCTCTGGCTCGATTACTGGCTCCCTAATGGACCAATTGTTCAACAGATAGGGCTGAATGATGTGAAAATTCTTTAACTAGACACTAGGACTTTAGTTGATAGCCTAATTTCCAATACTCATTGGATGGTCCCCTTATCTTTGAACTTCTCTCAGTTTTTCCAATCTTTAAACTTTATTTCTCAGTTATACTCCCTGCCTCAACCCTTTGAACAGCAAGACAACATTGTTTGGTTACCTTATCCTTCTCAGTTGTACTCATTCTCACACACCACAACATTCTTTGGACCACCTTCACCAACCTTTGTTTGGTATAAGCTTATTTGGTTCAAACATCATATTCCCAAACATTGTTGTATCGCCTGGCTAGCAGTGAGGGGAAGGTTTTTACACACTAGACTCCAAACCTCTGTTGTATAAACATTATGTTAACAGGTGCTATCTTTGTAAGGTTGAGATGGAATCAATGGATCACTTATTCTTCAAATGTCAGTTTAGTTCTCGGATTTAGAGCTTCATACAAGATGTTGTAGGGTTCTACATTTTGCCAAGCTGCTGGATGGATTTGATCAGTTGGTGTTCAGCTCACTGGACTTCAATAAAGTACTTCATTCACAAACTCCTACTATCAGCAGCAATCTATTTTCTTTGGCAGGAAAGGAATAGTAGAGCTTTCAAGAATGTTTCCAATACCCCTTATCATGTTATCTCCTTGTTAAATTCCTGCATCAGAGCTCATTTAGCTGTAATTAAGTTGCAGAGGAGTTCTAATCTTAGAATTATCATAGCAGAACATGACCTGCATACTATTTTTGTGCAGTCTTGTTCTTCCTACTCATGGCTGATATCTTAGGAAGACCTCAATGCTTTTGAGTTTGAATGGTATCCAATGCTTTGGTTTGAGATAGCTATGCTAGTGGTGTTGTAGTTAACTGTGCTCTTGGTTTTCTTGGCAACTGTGCTTCATCTTGTTGAAGTTGTGTTGAACCATTGTTTGTTTGTGTTGTACTTCCCCTTATAGGGGCTCCATGTATATCCTTTCTTATTTATATACAAGCTTACTCTTTAACCAAAAAAAATAATAATTAAAAAAAATATCACCAACAGTAAAAAGAAATGACCAACTAGAAATAAGTACAAATTACTAAAAAAATATATAGATTAAAATATTAGAGTTAAAAAGAACATGAATTAAAATATAAAAAAATTTGTTGACAATTTACAATTGCTTATTTACGAATTCATAAGCAAACAAAATTGACCATATTACATAACAAACTATTTGATTGATAACTCAAAATTCTATATGTTATTTATATGAGCGAGTCCTTTCAGTAAGAATTTCAAAACTACTTTATTGTCAACAATTTAAAAACTATTTATTATACATTCCAGCCTTTTATTTTATTTTAATTTTTTTAGATCTATATAGCCATGCCAATTGATACACACTTAGCTTCATCAAATTTTAATCTAAAAAAATATATATGAGAAAATATTAATGAATTAGAGGAGTTAGAATTGTAAAGGAGTCCCATAATTATAAAATAATCCCACGTATAAGAGATGGGGGATTGAACCAAATTTTAATTTCTAAGAAATGTTAAAAAGAATTTGATCGAGTCATGTTTTTATATGAAGGGCAATTATGATATTAAAAATATAACTTAGTATGATGTAGGTATTATTTTGCAATTTCATTTTAAGAGATAAAAGGTATGGAGTGCCAAAGGATAATTGTGGAGCACCAATTTTAGCTCCCAAAAAATATTCTCACACTAACCATAATGATTGTGGATAGTTATACGACAAACCCATTCATATCATTGCCTAATATAGTGATGTTTTCGTAACTCAAGTAATAGGGTTACTTTATGTTGTCCTTGGGAGCTTGGCTTCGAGCCTTCACACACACCCCTCCCTACTAACAACCACTAAACATTCTTGTCATGAAAAAAAAAAAATTCCTAATTTAGTAACCGATATTGGAGAAATACCAAATAAAGAAAATTTTATAAAAAGTGTGTGTTTCTTGTTAATGTAAATACTAATAATAATAAAACCTTACATGAAAAAAATTAAGAAAAATCTTTTCTGAGCTTTTTTAAGTTTGAATTTTCTTTGTGAATATATATATATATATATTTGTAAGAACCCTACTAAAGGTAAGGTTTTTTTTTTTTTTTTTTTTGGATGGTAAAACAAACACACACACACTTTTTTGCTCATGTCGGGACTCGAACCCCTCCCCTCTTCTTTGAAGATAAGAAGGTTATACCATTGGGCCAAAGGCCCTTTGGTTATTTAAGGTACGTTTTGTTAGTTAGCAAACTTTAAATAAGGAGAGGAGTGATTTTTTATTGTTTTAAGAAATGAGATAAGTGTGTTAGATGTATTAGGAATTGAGATAAATCTATTGAAATTTCAATTATAATTATTCCAATGGATTACAATTTTGTTGTTGCTAGTGAGATTACAATAGTAAGTAATAAGAAGAGGAGTGATTTTTTATTGTTTTAAGAAATGAGATAAGTGTGTTTGCTGTATTAGGAATTGAGATAAATCCGTTGAAATTACAATTATAATTATTCACACCGATTGGAATTTTGTTGTTGCTAGTGAGATTACAATAATAAGTAGCATGTTTTTTATTATATTTAATGATTTTAAAAGCAATACTAAAAGCTTCATTCAAATCACCTTTAATATATAAATTAATAAGTATCATAAAAAGGAAATTTAAAATATTTTGGGAAGAGCAACTTTAATTTTCTTACACAAAATTATCATTAATAGATTAATAAAGTTTAAAGAAAAACTTGGATAGCAGAAATTATTAGACCTGGACACATTTGATTGTTAGTCCTATTCAGACACTCTAATTAAGGACAGTAAAAGCATAAAAGTGTAATTAGTTTGGATTCAATATTTTTTTCCCTTGTTTGTTTCATTTGCATTGATATTATTAGTTAATTAATATAAAACTTGTGGAATAAATACTTCCCACATTTTGCATACCCATTTAGGCTTATCAAAACACCACACTTTAGAGCTAATTTCTCATTCACCCGGAAACGGATTTGAGAAAGTAAATATACTATGTTCATCTCCTTGCGAAGAGAAACACGTTTGTCTAGAGATCCGTAAAAAAATTATTAACAGAATCTATTCCAAATCTCATCCAAAATTTATATTTTTAATGCCCCTTTTTCCAACAATTCCCCACATGAATGAAAATTTGCGTAAAATGCAAAAGATGATTATGTAGACACTAGAGAGAGTATAGTCAGAAAGTTACTGCATCAGGATAGATGGCTTTTGGCTTTGAACCTTCCCTAGTGTATTGCTATCGGATTTACTGGCTAATCAGTGAACGTGATATCTTGAACTGTTCAGCCATTTGTGTAAACCAAGACAATAACAAACACACAGTAGCTTTCCTCACAAAGTTGGTTCTTATTGTTGTGTTCATTTTGGCCTTGAACAAGTCCTGGTATTCAATGAGTGCTCTAGAAAACTTAGCCTTTATAGTTCTCATAGAAGCGGCCCCACTTCACACTCATATAGGTGACTTCTTATTAAGAGTATCTTACCATACCCCACTTGAATTTTCAAGGTATAAGAGTCATTAAAAACATAGCTTATCATAATCATCGTTGTAGGTAGCACTGTTTGATCATAGAAACGGGTAGAAGATTTATATCTTCCCAGTGCTTTTGGTGAGTCACTCAGAATTTCTGTTGTCCCTTTGAACCTAAATCTTGGGATCTCCAGTCAGCTAGGTTGGGTTTCCATTAAGGTGACTCGTTAGCTTTCGGCTTTAAACCCCATTCCCCTCGATAAAACTGTACAATTGCTCTCTAATACAACCTTCAATTTTATATGTGGCCACAAGGTTGTGTTTAGAAATATTACACTTTGTAGAGATTTTTCTAGTTGAGAACAACTGTATACTTTGTGCCATAAGATTGCTTATTGTTAGCAATATCCTTTTTCTCTAGTAGCACAGGTATAGACTTACTTCGAAATGTCCTCTAAGTGAAGTCTATTAACTTTTCTATCTCATTTATTCAAAGTTTCTAACTTTGAGTTATATTAAGGACATACAACTACACCTTTAAAATAAAAGACATATCCACTCTTGGATATATAGTCTTTAAATCCTATATCCAGATTGCATTACTGTTATACCTCCAATTTAGTTAGATACCTTGATCTATGCAATATTGGACTTAGGGTGTATCTCAATAACCTAATTCATTATTTTTTAGTGATCCGATCCTGGATTGAAAATGTGCAATTAAACACAATTATTAAGATGCCTTGCAATCTCAACTAAGTATATACTTTGACTAATATTTATATTTGAGATTTTCATCTACAAAAGTTAGCTAGACTTTTGTTATCATAACTAGTATTATCTCAATTTCACTCTATTGAGAATATATTATGTTATCAGATGTTAAATCTTTCATATCAAATATACTAATTAGTATATCATTAATATTTTTTAAGGCATACAATGACTTATGCATCACATTTATGTCATTGTCTCGGTTCTTGCTCTAATCCACTCAAGGACTTATAAGCTTGCACACTTGACTTTTCAACTAGAACAAATAACTCAGTTCTTTAGCTGAAAAAGAACTCTTCTAGTTGTTCCATAATATTTTCCTCGTAGGAAATAATATGCACTATTATTATAATACTATAAATAATTTTTGGTTTTATCCAAAATCTTTTAGGATTAAGAACCCCCACATTTATAAGTATTTCTTATCTGATGAGGTAATTCGTATCAAATATCATCTATGGACAATATCCTCTCACAACTTTGAGATAATCGTGAAATTTTATATATGATATATTTCTTATGGTTTTCTAATTCTTGAAATACCATATATTAAATATTTCACCTTATTTACCTTTCCAAGGTTCTATATTCGCTTCTCAACAAGCATGTATAACAGTCTCTAGTGCATATGTATTTATTTTATCTATAATATGTCACAAACGTTACTGTGAATTAATGTTAAAGATATTAATTAATTACAATGGGCTCTAATTAATATTTGCTT